TTTTTTTTTTTTGGTGCTAAACTGAATCATTTTTTAAAACTGTAAAATTTTACAATTTCATAACATGTTTTTACTGTAAATTTTTGTAGTTTCATAACATACTTTTCAGTTTGATTAATAAGGATAAATGTTTAATAGAATCATGCTTTGAAACTGTAACAATTTTACAGTTTCAAAGCTTGCTTTTCAATTTGATCAATATTGGAGATTATTTGGTTAAACCCTACAAAAATTGAAAAATAACATATGTTCTTTTTCCCCATTGTTGTTGTTTATTGATGTTATGTTTTTTCTCCTTTTAGTTTGTTAATATTTAACACATTTTTCTATGTTTTTTTTGCTATAATTTCTCTATTTATTCTAGTGAGTTTCCGATGATATTCTTGACATCGAGCGAACATTCTGGACATTCCGATGACTTTTAGTGATATTCAGAATACTTCGGTGAGCGGGTCTTCTTGCGCTCGAGCGGGGATTACACACTTCCAGTATTTCGTGTCTCTGCAAAACTTCTGCAGGTGTGCTTTTCACGCTCGAGCGTATTTTCTTACGCTCGAGCGGGTATCTTGGTGCTCGAGCGGGTAGCTCATTGTTTGTAGAAGTACTAAGAGGAAGAAATCTACGCTCGAGCGGCTTTCCCTTTGCGCTCGAGCAGGTGTGTTCTATTTTTGTGTCTTGGCGCTTGAGCGGGACTTCTTTCACTCGAGCGGGTCCAGTGTTTGTGCTTTACGCTCGAGCGTCTTGTTCTCCGCTCGAGCGGGTCATGCGTATATGAGTTATCCGCTGGGTGATTTCAAATCACTTTTTGCTTTTCTTTCTCTCTCCTACTTTTTCTAAAAGCCATTTTGAGAGCTCCTCTCTCTAAAATCTTGCCTTCTCTCTAGATTTTGATCTAGCTAGGGTGAGTTCCTCACCTTCGGCCTTTGTAAAAGTCGTGTTGATCGTCGAGGGCGTCGTTTTCATCCGAGAATCTTGGTCTTTGGAGCATTTTGATTTTGGTCTTCATCTCCTTTGGAGCTCCGAATTTGAGGTAGGGATATCCTACTCCTCTCTATGGATTTTGTCTTTAAATTTTGGTATTTTGAGATGTTGGGCTTGGTTTGGTAATTTTGTGAAAGTTTGGGGCTTTTGTGTTATTTTACAAAAGTTGGGGTTTTATTTATAAGAAACCTAGATACATGTTTGGTATAGAGAAATGGAATAAATGTTGAATCATTGATGAAAATGGGACCTCAGGGTTGTAATGTTAATTATGGAAAATGACCTAATTACATTGATTGATTAGTTGGGATAATTAATTGTGAGAAATGAGGAAATGAAATGGAATTGTTGAGATTGGGAGTGCATGGAGTTAAAGAGTGTAGTTGAATTGTTTATCACACACCGAATTGAAATGTTGATTGAATATCCATTTGTGCATTTATTTTCTGTTTAGAGATAACTGCTTTGGGCTATCGGTGGAGGATAGTCATGATTGTTGTAGACAATGCATGATGATTAGGCAAACGGAAACTAATCAATGGAATGTGTCATGAAATTTGACGATTGATAGAATATATTAACTGTATGTATTGAGTGATTGTATATAGAACCAATGTGTTTGTATACGTTATGTATAGAGGAGGAGATGGGGGATGTACTCCGCGGTTTAGGAGAAGATGAGGGATGTACCTCTAAACCGGATAGTATTGGGAGAAGATAGGGGATGAACTCCGTAGATACAGCTCATATACTTGTCTAGAGAAGTGAAGGTAGAGCTAATATGCTTATCTTTATGAAGTGTGGATACAGCTTATATGCTTATCTGTGAATGTGGGATATTGTTGTTATACATATCTGTTGAGAATGTGGATATAACTTATATGCTTATCTGTGAATGTGGGATATTGTTGTTATACATATCTGTTGAGATGATGATAAAGCTAATATGCATATCTGTTGAAAAAAAGGAAAAATGAAAAGTAACTTGGACTCATAAGTCGGATGACATAAAATGTGATTTATGTGGATGTATCAGCGTTGGCCATCTATCAATTGCTAATCTTTTAGTCATTGTTCATGGTTGGTTTAGTATATTTCTGCTGGGCTGTGGCTCACCCTATATGGGAATATCATTTTTAGGTACAGGTAGCATGCCACCTCCAAGGTCATAGCTAGAGGCCAGCAGATTGTTGTTGTTGTTGTTGTTTTAGTTCTTTTTGATGTATTACATGTGTATACAAGCCGAGGGCTTAATGTGTAGATGAGTTAACACTCTTTTGTTGTAACCAAGTGTTAACTTGGAAAGCTGTAAGCCCATAGGGCACTTTGCTTTTGTTGTTAACATGTAATACTTTTGTAATGAAACTCTGATGAATAGAAGAATGTGGTTATTTCTTATGTCAATGAATGTCTTATTTGATGGGTTTAATGTTATTATTTTGAGGGCGTTACAATTGTCATAGCCTCTTCCTCGTCACAGATTGGCTGAACAGTTGTTGGGTTACCTTTGTTTCGCCGTATATAATTATGTAATGCCATTGACGCACCTACAAACTGAACTTGCACATTTGCAAAGTCATACCGAGGCATGTCTCGAATAAACCCCCATCGATTTTTTCAGGTACCGAAAGTGCGTTCCACGACACTGCGTAAGGACGAGTGGACTTTGTTAAATAATTCCCTTGGCGTGTTTGCCATCGCGTTTCGTGCAATACGCCGGAATTCTTGTTGGTTGTAACGGTGGCCTTTGAATGGTGCTAAGTAACCAATCCGGTTTGCATAGCCAGAATCGACAAGATAATATTTGCCTGCAGACATGACGACAATGTATGACACCAAAACCAACATTCTGCGTCATTTTCATATAACGCTTTGTCAGGAAATAAGTATTTGTTAACAAATCTAATAACATGGCCATGTGTTACCTTCGTCAGGATGTGGGAAGGGGACGTTGTCATTTGTTAGTATCTCGTTGAATATGCGACTATCATGCATACTTCCTTCCCATCCGCAAGAAATGAATATGAAACACATGTCAAAATTGACAGCAGCCATTATATTTTGTGTGTGACAGTATTTCCTACCGAAATATGTTGCCGCATCTGGCCCCGTAACCCATGCACTGACATGTGTTCCGTCTATTGCGCCAATGTAGTCCTGTCAACATGGATCATATGTTTTGTTTCGTAACTTTGTAACAAGTGTTTCAAATTTGTCACGTGTAGTTAATAACAAAAATCATATATATTGTCTTGATTTATATGTCAATCATGTTTTGCTGAAGTACCTTGAACGGTAGGTATTTCCGTCTAGACTTCACGTATGGATGTATACGATGCTGACTGTATGTGGGCCGGCAATGGACAACAGTGAACTCTTTCATGGAATTTAATACGTTATGCACGTGCCTCGACACAGTCTCCCCAGAATGTTGGAACCGTTCCTGGATTTCCCGATTTTGTTTCCCTTTCAAGACATGGATAAACATCGCAACGCTTTCTTCAACAGCTAAGCCATGTGGACGTTGCGGGACTTATAACCCAAAATCATTTACTAATGTCTCACACAATGCGGCAAAAACTTCCTTCGGCATGCAAACATTTTCCTCAAAGCGACCCACATGCCCCGCATATAGTTCGCATATCCATGTATTCCCGGTTAGTATAGAAGTGCGACATGGCGTTTTATGCATGTGTTTTTGGTACCATTCTGTCGCCAACTGGCATGCTTGTAGAAATGTGCAGTTCTGTTCTTGTTGTAGCTGGACCGCCATTTGATTAAGCATTTCCATTATTTCATCATGGTTGCTTCCATCCCAGGGATTCATCGCGTCTTCGTTGATGCAAAACCTACAAAAGTGCCAGGCTTTCAATTAGTTGGCACGTGATTCATTGAGTTAAATTATATTGAATTTTGCAATTATACAATGCCGACATTATTTTTAATGAAAGCAATGCTGTCACCAATGTCCTTTGGAACGCATGATCATATGAATTGGAAAAAAAAAAATAAGCTTTCAACTTATGCTTTACAGGGGGGCCATGGTGGTAACAACCACAAAACTAACAAAAGAACTTGCGACATATATAATGAACGCAATGCCGTCACCAATGTCCTTTGGAACGCATGATCATATGAATTGCAAAAAAAAAAAGAAGCTGTTGAACGTATGCTTTATAGGGGGGCCATGGTTGTAACAACCACAAAACTAACAAAAGAACTTGCGACATATAGGCATTCAGAAGCGTGCATCGAAAACGTAATTCCCTGTCTTAAACGTAACGGCACAAAATATTAAAACGTAAACATCCCATTCATTTCCCAAAAACGAAGCCCAACCATGCTTCCGGTCCGTCAACCCATGCACTTACCTAAAACTTGTCACTGCCCGTAGCTAGCAAGAAGAAAAAAAAAAAGACAGAATGCAAAACATGCACACACCACCATCCTGTTTTAGTACATAGCCAACAGTACCATAAGTCTAAGTTTTAAAAAGGAAGAAAAAGACATGCATCTTCAACACTCGTAAGACCGTAGCATCACATCCGCCTACCCCCAAACAGGTTTGCAAATGGCCCCGACGCAATACACTGGAGCTGCTTCTATGTAAGCCAGCCAATGATGTGGTCGTCATCAAGCTGGCACATCATGACCTCCTGGTAATCAACGTTATCCATAAGTGTGGAGGCGAAGTGGAATAACGGTGTACCAATCAGGGACGGAATACTGCTCAGTTTATGCATACACTCGGAAATAGTGTACAGTGATTCGTTGCCTGTGAGGTGCCTGACCGTGACCTGCTGATTCTTCGAACGCACCACATCTGTCATTCTGTTCATGCTCTCCGCAATAACAGACGCACCACTTGTTGCCTTCTTCGACTTTGAAACACTTGTTGATGGCGTCTTTCTCCGTTTTGCCTTTTCAATCGACACATGCTCCAGTGAAGAATCAGAATCCACGTCCTGTACTCTTGTGGGTATCGGATCAGCAAATGGCTGGGCTCCCAAACTACGCACTGAATCAGATGAGTCCGTAGCAGCTTCAGGAAGGTTCTCTCCCGGGGTCCAATGGTGCTTCCCAGTAGCTGCTGCCCCCATGAAAACCGTCTCAATCAAGTCACGGTGTTCCAACGTTTTCTTCCTGAACTTCGCACACACCTTGTTGATCTGCAGACATGTACATGTGTAAAAGAGGTTGACGTTATATTTCATATTCATAAATTTTATTGAAGTTGAATTAAGAAGTAAAAAATGTACTGGTAAATGAGAAATATAAAACTTGTTTTTACATGTACTTACTGATTCCATCTTGTCCCACTACTCGTCAGGTGCCTGAAACAAACCGGTGTCATAGTCAAAGCCTATCCCGGACACTCCCTTGCTTGAATCCATCAACTTCGTCCACGCTTGCCACTCTTTCTTCAAGCTCATGTACTTATTCTTCAACTGTTTAAGTCCATGTTTTTTTCCTGTTTTTCTCTGAAATTTCCTTGACAACGACTTGTACCCTGCCTGGCTGAGGACTAAGAATGGCCGATTTTCTTTACTAATCTCATTTGCAATCAACTGGAGGAAAACTCGGACTGAGTTACTGTCCCATGAGGCCTTGTGGCTTAGCTGAGTTTGTGTCTCTTCAAGACTGGTTGACTTGTCACTGACAACGCCTTTGGCTTTCGAGTGGTTACGAGGCGAAGTACGTGTGGAAGCCATTACTAATGTACGGTTACAAAAGATTACCATCACAAATTTGGTCATTATATACACGCGCACAACAGATGACACATTAAAAAAAACAAACGCAGATATATGATGCTGAAGATGAAATTTGCATATACCCATTGAAAACATTTTTTACGTACGTACACAGGTTCCATGGAAGTTAGTAGTGGACAAAAACATGATAGTTAGTATTACGGCTCCCATATGCGACAACATAATACCATCTTACTACAAACATACTAACTACATACTAACAACATATTCAACACATACTAACGTCTTTGTACATACTAAGAACATGGTAACGGTGCTTACATACGGCACAACAAAATAACAACGACAATACAGAGCACATACACAATGGTCTTAAGCACACGCAAGGATTGTTGAATGTCTATGACATCAGCCCGCAATTGCATGGCAATTTCATCTCCGGCTGACGCATAGCCTTGGTTCTCATGGCTTCGTTCTTCACACCAACCAATCCAACTGACACAAGGCTGATGAGTGAAAAGTATGGAACTATTAGTTTCATGGGTTGTTAATGTTCATTAAGTTATGACCGGTAAAGATTGGGTCACTCACCATAGGGCGGGGACATACAAAGTAGGAACGCCCTGGATTCTTGGTGGACCTGGAAATCCTAACAATACACGGGCCATATCCACAGGCACACATTCGTCCTGGCCATGTACTGGAAGTTGCAGTAGAGGTGAACGACGCCATGCTACGATTTAATATAAAGTAAATTGACATGAATGAAGATGAACACGATTGCGTACTCAAATTAATAAATCTATGTTGTAATATATTTTGATAATATTTTTTATGATAGGCAGTAAAATGGATTGGTGAGAATATATTTGTACTACATTTTTTATGATAGGCAGCAAAATGGATTGGTGAGAATATATTTGTACTACATTTTTTATGATAGGCAGCAAAATGGATTGGTGAGAATATATTTGTACTACATTTTTTATGATAGGCAGCAAAATGGATTGGTGAGAATATATTTGTACTACATTTTTTATGATAGGCAGCAAAATGGATTGGTGAGAATATATTTGTACTACATTTTTTATGATAGGCAGCAAAATGGATTGGTGAGAATATATTTGTACTACATTTTTTATGATAGGCAGCAAAATGGATTGGTGAGAATATATTTGTACTACATTTTTTATGATAGGCAGCAAAATGGATTGGTGAGAATATATTTGTACTACATTTTTTATGATAGGCAGCAAAATGGATTGGTGAGAATATATTTGTACTACATTTTTTATGATAGGCAGCAAAATGGATTGGTGAGAATATATTTGTACTACATTTTTTATGATAGGCAGCAAAATGGATTGGTGAGAATATATTTGTACTACATTTTTTATGATAGGCAGCAAAATGGATTGGTGAGAATATATTTGTACTACATTTTTTATGATAGGCAGCAAAATGGATTGGTGAGAATATATTTGTACTACATTTTTTATGATAGGCAGCAAAATGGATTGGTGAGAATATATTTGTACTACATTTTTTATGATAGGCAGCAAAATGGATTGGTGAGAATATATTTGTACTACATTTTTTATGATAGGCAGCAAAATGGATTGGTGAGAATATATTTGTACTACATTTTTTATGATAGGCAGCAAAATGGATTGGTGAGAATATATTTGTACTACATTTTTTATGATAGGCAGCAAAATGGATTGGTGAGAATATATTTGTACTATATTTACGTTTTTGAATATATTTATGATAAAATTTTTCATACTTACATGTAGTCATATATGTTTAATAAAACTTTTACACTCTTTATTGTTTACCTCTAAATTTATAATATATAATATTAATACATTAGTAATATCTGTCTAACATTTGTTTAAGATATATTGGAAATAAACTATTTAGTTAATATATTTTTAATATAAATTTGATATATTTTGTAATTTGTTGGTAATATATGTACATAATATATGTAGCTTCCTTCCCAAATGTAGTTCGAAAATAGTTATGGTGCTAATTAATTTATTTTTAGGAAATGAGAATTGACCCTTTCGTGTTGAGTTAAAAATAAACGCAAATTAATACATCTAATCTGTAATATATTTTCAATATATATATTTTTTTATTTAAAAACATTTTGGAATATATGTACGATATAGTTTTCCATAATTAAATGTAGTCAAATCTGTTTAATAAAACTTTTACACTCTTTATTGTTTACCTCTAAATTTGTAATATATAATATTAATACATTATTAATATCTGTCAAACATTTTTGTAATATATTTTTAGTCAACTGTTATTTTTCTATATTTCTAACATAAATTTCATATATTTTGTAATTTGTTGGTAATATATGTACATAATATATGTAGCTTCCTTCCCAAATGTAGTTCGAAAATAGTTATGGTGCTAATTAATTTATTTTTTAGAAATGAGAATTGACCATTTCGTGTTGAGTTAAAAATAAACGCAAAATAATACATCTAATCTGTAATATATTTTCAATATATATATTTTTTTATTTAGAAAACATTTTGGAATATATTTATGATATAGTTTTTCATAATTAAATTTTGTCATATCTGTGTAATAAAAGTTTTACACGCATACATTTTTAACTCTAATGTATTTTTAATAAACTGTTTGTTTAATATATTTCTAATATAAATATAATATATTTTGTAATTTGGTGTTAATATCTGTAGATAATATATGAACCTTCCTTTTTATATAATTTAGTTGGAAAATATTTTTTATGTAATTAATTTCATTTCTTGAATTGAGAATTGACCATTTCGTCTTCAGAAAAAAATATACGCAAATTAATACATCTAATTTGTAATATATTTTCAATAATTTTTTTTTT